ATATGCTGCCTTACAAAAACTCCTATACCTACAAAAACAAGACTGAAGGGCTATATGAGCTGGTGTCACCTAAGTAGAAAGCAGAGATGATTTTCAAGTGTATTTTGCATCAAAATGATTTAATGAGATACTCTGATGACAGAAGATCATGAAGATAAGTGTTTGATATTCTCTGAAAGGCAATTATGTTTATTCTTTAAAGGAATATTAATAGACATGATTTCCTGGGCTCTTGTTATGTAGAGTGAAGTTTGGAATCTTTTGCAAGGGTTAGTTCAGTCACTCAAGACCACATCATGAGGTGGAGGAAGTGAGCACAGTCAGGTGAGGATAAGGTGAGGACGTGACCTGCAGAAGCCATGCAGACATTAAGAAGCAGAAGTTGGATTTGTACCAGGCAGCGCAGTTCCAGGCAGAAGGCACAGCATAGAAAGCAGGAAGGTGTGCCCCTTACTCATTCTAATTGTCTGTAGCTTCAGGGAAGTTTTGAAGGGTCTTGCTTGTTCAGTTTTTCTCATATGCAGATGTGACTATTTATATATTTATCATACATTTTGGTGTACATCCTATGATAAAGTTTAAATGATAAATTATAAAATTTAAATTATAAACCTTATACTTGAACACATAAGCCATTCTCTATAGCTTGAAACACTTCAGCAGATGATTGAAGTGCTTGTAAAAGGTCATGGCACATGTTATAAAATAGTTTAAAAACTCAGGCCATTTGTATGATGTTGAACTTCATGCCTGTGGACACTTCGAGACAGCAACCTTCACAAGGAGATCTGGAGTATTCTCATTTGCAAGGGCAGAAAGCTCTTAAAACCACCACATGTTTCAGAGAAGGACAAGTCTCCTGCCCTTCTGTTGAGGCTGGTGTTTTGGATTTCTGTTTTAATTCTGACTGGAGCTTCTGCTCAATGAGCAGATCTGGATCTCCAGCACGAGGATATGATGTTCCCTTGTTTTGTAAGTTGTCTTGAAGCAATATATGGCTTAGGTTTGATTAATGAACACACACAGAGCTAATTTTGACTCCAATTATGACAAAGGACAGTGAGCCTGTTAGTCCTTTTACAAGCATCACGGCTGCTTGGCAAGTAAGAATATATAGGAGAGCCTTAGCTGACAGGCTTACACTTCCTCTGTCAGGATTTCCCTGCATAGGAGGTGTAGACTCAGGCCTCGCAGCAGGACTAAAGAGAAATGATTGGACTGCTCTCCTCTACGCTCTACCATTCTCTATTGTTTCCACTTACAGCACTATACATCTAAAATGGGTATTATAAACATAATTTTATGTATTCAGTTTGCAGTCTAATATATATATTATAGATTTTTCTTGCCCTTCAAATATCTTGTTTACTAGAAAGATTATAGATTATAGAGGCAAATACAACATCTATTTGTATAGATGGCTGAATCTCAGAGATGCAAATAATTTTTTAATTATTTTTATTTTTATATATTAATTACAGTTTACTTACTTTGTATCCCAGCTTATCCCACTCCCCCATTCTCTCCCAATCCTACCCTCCCTCACTCATCTCCTCCCTGCCCCTCTCTAAGTCCACTGATAGGGGAATTCCTCCTCCCCTTCCATTTGACCCTAGCTTAACAGGTCTCACCAGGACTGGCTGCAATGTCGTCCTCTGTGGCCTAGCTTGGTTGTTCCTCCCACAGTGGGTTGGGAGGTCAAAGAGCCAGCCATTGAGTTCATGTCAGAGACAGTCCTTGTTCCCCTTACTAGGGAACCCACTTAGATACTGGGCTGCCATGGGCTACGTCTGAGCAGGGGTTCTAGGTTATATAAATACATCATTGTTGGTTGGAGAATCAGTCTCATACAAGACCCCTGTGCCCGGATATATTTGGTCCTTGTGAAGCTCCTGTCCTCTCCAGGTCTTACTAACTCCCCCTTCTTTTGTATGATCTCCTGCACTCTGCCCAAAGTTTGGTAATGAGTCTCAGCATCTGCTTTGATACACTGCTAGGTAGAGTCTTTCAGAGGCCCTCTGTAGTAGGCTCCTGTCCTGTTTCTTGTTTTCTCCTACTTCCAATGTCTATCCCATTTGTCTTTCTGAGTGAGGATTGATCATCTTACCCCAGGTCCTCCTTCTTGTTTAGCTTCCTTAGGTGTACAGATTTGGTATGTTAATCCTATGTCATAAGTCTAGTATCCACTTATAAGTGAGTATATACCGAGTGGACATCTGGGTTGTTTTCACGTTCTGGCTATTACGAATAAAGCTGCTACGACATGGTTGAACAAATGTCCTTGTTGAGTACTTGAGCATATTTTGAATATATGCCTAGGAGTGGTATAGCTGGATTTTGGGGAAGCGTTATTTCTAATGATGCAAAAAAGTTTACATCAAGAAACACAGCTGTATCACTCGCGGGGATAATTTTTTTCTCTGCTGCCTTATAGCTGAGCTTTTTCACCTGGCCTGCAGCACTGCTTGCTTTTCTCAAACCATCTCTGTCATTCCCCAGTGAGGTCCTTGAAAGCTGGTTGCTACAAGCTACACCAGCCTTGGAAGAATTGCTGTTGCACTGTGTCTTTATCTGTGCAGGGGTACAGTCCTTTATCTGTACCCCTGCAGGCGTTTATAAACTCTATTTTGTATCGGCTTTGCTGGGGTCCAAGTGAGCCCTTCTTCATGGACTAGATGATGTTTTTCCCCGGCATAATATAACACATGCAATCACCTCTTTGCTCTTAGATTTTTCCTAAAACAGTGAGTAATGTTAATTATTTTTCTCTCACCTTTTCTTTCCTTCCTTCCTTATCAGTTTTTATCTCTTGTAAATGTATGTTTAGCCATCTTACTGAAGCAGCTTCCTGAGTTTCTTGCTTTCAAATAAATGGATTTAAGAAAGAGCAGATCCTTTGATCACCTCCTCCTGAGGGAGGAAGCAGCCTTACCAAGCCACAGAAGAAGATAATGGACTAGGGTCAGAGGGAAGGGGAGCAGGACCTCCCTTTTCAGTGGACTGGGAGAGGGATGGGTAGGGAAGAGGCAGGGTGGGATTGGGAGGGGAGAAGGGAGGGAGGTACAGGGGATACAAAGTGAATAAACTGTAATTAATAAAATAATTAAAAATATTTAAGCTACTAGAAAGTAAAAGAAAGAAAGAAAAAGAAAGAAAGAAAGAAAGAAAGAAAGAGCAGATCTATTACAACCCTTTTTCCAAATTTCTATTCTACCTATGCAACACATTTTCAAATAAACATTTTTATGAGAAAATGAGGTATAAGTGTTTATTAAATTGATGACCATATATTCATCTGTCATTCTTTTGTCCCTTTTGAATAGGCACTCATTTAGCATTTAGCTCACCAAGTAGCTCATTAAGGAAGAACAGAAGTCTACTCTTGAGGTTGCATCAACAGAACCCCATGAATTCTCATCCAACTGAATGAATGAAATAAAAACTACTGGAACCCAAGAGAAGGGTCAACATACCATGGGGATAAAGTGGTATCTTTGCAGATCACTCATGAACTGAGTAGGATGAGTGCCACTGTAATGAAACTGCCACCTGCTGACAGCGAGGGTAAAACAACTGTGCTAGGCTCAAACTGGGCCAACACCTCTTTATGACACTAAAAGACACCCTGACATGCTCGGAAAGTCCTAGCTCAAAAATGCTCAGAGTCAAAATACTGCTCAGAATGTTTTAAGACCTGAGCCATATACTACCATTTACATATAGGTTGATTAGCAGATTATTACTGGTTATTAGATGATTATTGACTTGGATACTCGTGAGCTAAGATACAGTATATAAAATAATACACACACGGTTGTGAGTGAATAAAATGGCTTTGTGGAGCACAGATAATAAAATATGTATTCTCAATATTATTTCTGAGGAATGATTACCAAAAATGAACATAGTCACTGAGAAAAGAGAAAGACGTTTGGCTTTTATCCTCAGTATGAACTCAAGGGCACGGTGTCCTCAGTAGCGCTCACCCATGAACAACTTGCATAATTAGTAATTTTTTTCTTTAAACACTTTGAATAGAGTTGGTAAGGTTTATTGGAATCACAGAATAATATTGATCAGACATCTCTCAAGTACCATCTTTGAAGCAAAATCCACATAACAATCGTATTTTAGATACTTTGATCCTCCAGATGTTTTAAATGTGAGTAGAGAAATTTGAGCACAAGACATGAGAATTTTCTAGACTGTTTCAATCGGTAGGCTCTGGGTGGTTTGGTTTTCTATACAATTATGGCATTCATGCTATCTTGCATGTTTCAAAATGCCTCGTAGCATTGCATCCTCTCTTTCCAAAAAAAGATCATTGTGAAAAGTGAACAAAATAAACACAGAGCACAGTAGCCGACACCGTGTTTTTGATTTTTAAAACATAGCCTTGGGCAAATCATAAAACTTGTGTTTTTCATGCATGAAATAGGAATATTCGTATCATGTATGCCAATGAGAGAAGGAAGTTGTTTATTGAAGACACTCACATGCAAATATATAGACATATGACTAAATAAAAGGCGACAAGATTAAAACGGAAACATTTAAAATGTTGGGATGTAAAAGCTATCTGGAGAGGGAAAAGAAGCTGTTAAACATTATTCCTATTTCACGGAACTGTAAAAGGCTGTTCACAAAGCATCAGTAGTCTGCCTAGCGATAGACTTGATCTCAAAGTTGCCTCTCTCTTAACCATTTCACAGTATTGTGAAAACTGAGGCCTTGGAATGTAAAGGAAGACGCAGAGGCAGCCTTAAGCCCACATCCAAAACCTTATCGCCTTGGAGCTGTTCATTTAGCACATGGCCTCTCAAAAGCACCCACCCCAATAACAAAACCCCATCCTGCTGGAGCATTGTGAAACATACAGCAGTGCAGTTTCTGCAAATGTCTTAAACTTTCATAGGAAAAGTGGTAATATCAGTTCACATGCAGGTCTGCCTGAGGAGGAGGCCCATGGTCCTCTCCCTCATCCCTCTGCCTTTTCTGACCAACCCCTCCTAGGTGAGACTTACTCTTCTTTGCTTCCTCTAGCTTGTCCTTGGCCCTTTTCTCTGCCTGCAGGAGCTGTTGAATCCCCTGAGACTGGCTGGTCATGGTGCCCAGCTCCCAGCAAAATGACTTCTTTGGAAGCTGGGACACAGAGGTCCTTTTATCCTCTAATGGGCCACTATAGAACTCAGCTTGTTTTGTCAACAGTGAACACGTAACTGTTTGTTCCAAACTTGCCTGATTAGATCAGAGAGTTAGGTGCCAAGGTGAGCCCAAGGAGGAATCCAGAAAACAACTCCAAGAAGTTGAGAGTTCATTGTCTCTGCCTTCAACTCTTTTTTTTTCACTTTACTACATGAAGATTATTAATCTTTGACTCAATCACTGAATACATATATGCTTTCAATTACTGCAAAATAGTTTATGAAGGAGTGTTCAAGTATACGTATCTCCAAAGTAATTTTTTTCTTTTTTAATTAAATTTTTATTTTTTATATTAATTACTGTTTATTCACTGGAGAGGACAGGAACTCCACAAGTACATCAACAGAACCAAAATATCTGGGCACAGGGGTCTTTTCTGAGACTGATACTCCAACCAAGGACCATTCATGAATATAACGTAGAACCCCTGCTCAGATGTAACCCATGGCAGCTCAGTCTCAGTATCCAATTGGGTACCCTAGTAAGGAGAACAGAAACTGTCTCTGACATGAACTCAGTGGCTAGCTCTTTGACTGCCTCCCCTGGATGGGGGAGCAGCCTTGCCAGGCCACAGAGGAAGACAATGCAGCCAGTCCTGATGAGACTGGATAAGCTAGGGTCAGATAGAAGGGGAGGAGGACTTCAACTCTTTTCATAAACAAGGCAACTCTAATGTGCTATTGGGTTTACTTACAAAGAAATGAGTAAGACACCTCTAAATCACCCGTTTCCATCAAAATCCCCACCCCAATACTGACTTTCCAATTATAATGTTTCCCCTGCTCCTGTCCCTGCAACACTTGTCTCAGGCCTTTATCTGTCTTCATGATTGAATTATCTACTTGAGGAAAATGGATCTTCCTTTTTCAAGGAAGGAGGTCTTTCTGGCTTTGTGAGGGATCTATTCTGTCCCTGCCTTAGGCCTCGGATGACAGAAAGGAGAGCACTGGGACATGATGTGCCGTCCTTTTGTAACGCTTTGTCGCAGTTAGAGATGATCTTACCACAGTGTCTACGCCAACAAGAAGAGACATCATTAACATGCACTTGAGGTTTGCTTAAGCCTGTCTTTTCCATTAGTGCCTATGTACGTCTGTGTACAGAGAATGGTGCCCACATATTTCACCTGATTCTGTCCAGTAACAGACAAATAAGAAAGCTACTCACAGTAAATACGCAGTGCAACCCTTGCACGCACCAAACACTTTTATTGGAAAGGGGAGGTTCATTTCTTTTCTCTTAGACTGCATGAGCTACAGATTGGCTTTGCATGGACTTTGGCTCTCACATGTAAAACTTCTGCCACCTTGTCTGTCAGGTTCAATTTCTTTCAATAAGCTCCTGGATTTAAGACAAATTCAAAACAAACTTTCTTTTTCAAAGATGGCTTTTTTTTTTCTAATCCTTTCAAGTATCTCATCTATACTAGTATCATTGCAGTGTGTTGACAAATCTTCCAGTGTATTAAGCTTTTTTCCCACATGATAATTTTTCTTTCTTTAGGTGCACTACTGAATCTCCTGATTTTGCCCCCTCCCCCTCTCTCCTGCCCCCTTCTGTTTGTGATGATGATAATCTTTCTTTCTTTCTTTCTTTCTTTCTTTCTTTCTTTCTTTCTTTCT